ACGATCTCGATCGTGAATCTTTAACGCCTTTTAAAGTGCCCAATCTCTGGGCCCAACGTAATCCGCGAGCACGCTTTTGCCCTGTCATCGCACTCTCCTTTTCGCCTCGCGATATTGGAAAGATCCTAGTGGGGTATCCCGAAGGAGCTGTGACATTCTCGTTCAAGCAGAACATAGCACAGAAGTACTTCGAGTATGAAGTTCCCCCGGGTGCATTGGGTGGGAATTGCGATGTCCCATCCCAGGAGCCGCGCAGGCCACGGCTTACCAGGGCTATCTGGCACCCTAACGGGATTTTCGTATTGACAGTGCATGATGACAATAGTTTGGTGCTATGGGACTCTAAAGATGGCCGCAAGATAGCGGCTAGATCAATTACAACCCCCAATATTGACCAGCCAGGTGCTAGCTCTGAGAGACCACTGCCATCAGGGAGCGCTGTTGGGCTCAGGGACCCCATTACTCATATTGCGTGGTGTGTTAAGGGAAACGGGGATGATAGTGGACTTTTAATAGCTGGTGGTAAACCGAAAGCTGAGGTCAACAAAGGACTTACTTTCATCGACCTGGGGCCAACTCCAAATTATCAAACATCCTCTTGGTCCATAATATCGAACTATTTCGAGTCTCCAAAACAAATAGCAAATCTCCCAACACCTCCAGGCGCAGAAGTCGTGGATTTCTGCCTTATTCCCCGCACCTCGCCCTACTATGCTGGTGGGCATGATCCGATTGCCTTGATCGCCGTGCTTTCTTCGGGAGAGCTGATAACTTTAAGCTTCCCAAGCGGCCATCCGATTACCCCCACCAATATGGTCCACCCTTCTCTTTCGTTTGTTCATCCCTTCGTGAACAAGATGACTCTTACGCCAGTCGATCGTTCAGCTTGGCTTGGTCTCAGGGAACGGAGGTCGCAAGGACCAAAATTCCTACTAGGTGGTGCGGAAGGGAAAAAGGTCCTCAAACGCTTTGAAGATCGTAATGTGATTACAACCGCTCATGCCGATGGCACCATTCGTCTCTGGGATGTCGGCCATGATGATGAGGTCGAGAATGGGGATGTCATCCAGGTGGATTTGGCTCGTGCCGTTGGTCGTGTCAGTAATGTGGAAGTCACCGAAATGGCTCTAAGCGGATCAACGGGTGAGCTGTCGGTTGGCCTCAGGAGTGGCGAGGTTGTGATATTCCGTTGGGGCAATAATGGAAATTTTGGCCACGAAGAGCCCGCCGGCGCTAACGAAGGACCGGGGAAGTTGACTAAGATCGCTCACAGGGCTGATCCTGGGTTGAAGCAGGGACTTCTTCCCCTTACCATTTTGGATATGCAACAAGGATCAGTCACTGCGCTGAAACATAGTCAAGTTGGGTTTGTCGCTGCCGGCTTCGAAGGTGGCAGTTTGGCGATCGTCGACTTGCGCGGACCGGTAGTGATTCATACAGCGCGATTGTCCGAACTAACAAAGCCTAGCAAGCGGAGTAGTTTCTTGAGACACCGATCGTCTGATGACGCCCCACCAGAATGGCCAACGAGCATTGAATTTGGTGTATTGACTTTGGAGGGAGAAGGTAGGAAGAGACAGCGAGGTCTTGAGGTATGCAAAATTATGCTAATCCTTGGTTTTCTGCAGATTATTCGAGCATTTGCTGCTTTGTAGGCACCAACCGAGGAAATCTTGCAACCTTTAAGATCCTTCCAACGGAAAATGGAGGCTATATGGCTTCGTTTGCTGGAGCAACTTTGCTGGATGATAAGGTCATAAGCATCATTCCTATTGATGCTGAGAGTGGCGATCTTGCCTTAGCTACTCCGAACGCTGTTGGAGGTTTAAGAAATGGAGTTCGGGTACACGGTGTCGTCATTGCTGTAACCGTGTCTGGCTGCAGGATTTTCAAGCCTGCAACTTCTAAGGGCGCACATAAATCGTGGGAAGATTATCTGTGCGATTCTGCTGCAGTTGTCAAAGTTGAGGGTCGAGGTTACAGTCTTGTTGGGCTTTTTGGTGATGGCAACGTGCGGGCTTTCTCCATCCCAGGCCTCAAAGAGATGGGCTGCAAGGAAATAAATTACATGGCTGATATGAAACGCCTTTCGGAGTCCACGGTTTGCTTTAATGGAACAGTTCTTACTTGGACCGGGCCTTCCGAAGTGGGATTGTTTAACGTTTGGGGAGCTGGAAATGGGCTGTATGTGCACCTTCTCACTGGCCTGAGGTCAATAATTCGCTAATGAAGATTGCAGGCGACATTCCGAAGACCAGCTCTATAACGTACAGGCAGCCACCCCCCCACGCCCGACGATTACCAACGTGCAATGGATCTCCGGCACCCAATATATTTCTCCTGCTGACATGGACATTCTTAGTTCGTATACCCGTTCCCACTTCTCTAGGTTTCTCTGCTACATTTGACTAAGGAGTATTTACTGACGGTGGTGTTCGTATAGTTGGAGGCCCTGATCGCCCGCCTTCGAAAAAGATGCAAGAGCAGATGAAGCTCGAAGATCAAGAGCGCCGAAGACTTGCAAGGGAGGGACGAACCATGTCCAATCTGTCCCAGGAACAAGGCAGCCAAGAAGGGTATTGGTCGTATATGCAGCGCCAGGTGCAAGAGCGCACTGAAAAGCTGAATTTTGCCGGTGACCAGATGGAACGACTGGAAGAAAACAGCAGTAACTGGGCCCGGGACGTCAACAAGTACGTTCAAAACCAGAAGAAGAAGGCGGTGCTGGGTGGTAAGTCCGTGTTGGTTTCTTCTTCTAACCATACTTCGCTAACTAAAACAACAGTGCTAGGGTCAAAGTTTGGACTCTAAAATGCTTGTGACTGGTAGACGACTCCTTTATAAAATGTGGGCAAGTATGCCGTTTGATTGTCTTAGATTGTGTCTATGCAGTATAGCTACTATTTACATACCCCACGTTAGGTATTGGCGTTGGTGTTATTTCTTTCTCGTCTTCGTTGGTTGAGTTATCTCTATACTGTCTACTTTCAGAAACTGCGTGCGTAAGTATAGATAGTCATTCTATTTCTAGTTCTTAAGGCCTTCCGAAACAATCAGGCCCTTTATTTCTTGAAAATAACAAGTCAACCCTGCTTAAGATGAATCTATATAGCGCCGGTAACCTCTGTAATAGCAACGACTATGCTCTGGATGTGTGTAGAGTACACAATGCTACCTCGGTGCACCCCAGCAACAGAACCCTAGCCGTGAAACTCTGATAGTGATTACAGTAATATTAATAGGCCCTGGAACTACTACCGTAAAGAATCATTCACAGGCTATTTAGATCCCGATGCACTGTTCTTAACTTTTCATGCCAGCCTAAGAATAGTCTTTCTTCTCTCATTTATGCTAAAATGCACAAAGAAAGCCTCCATTTAACTATGATGAGCTACTTCACCTCAGACGGAGAATAGAATACCAAAGACTAGGGCGCGTACTTCAACCAAGGCTAGGTGGGATTCAGTGGCTTAGAATAAATACTAGCTCTTATGCTGTCACACAGAATACTTGGTGAAGAAATCGAGCCATAAAGGTGAATAAAATCTATCTAGTCAAGAGAAAGAGAACGATTTGGAAGGTAAAGAGATAGAAGGGAAGGAAAGAACCCTCCCTCCTCTCGCCCTTCTACCGAGGCCGGTAGCGCAACTGTGTATAGTACTCGATATCATTTATGGAGATTGCTTCAATATATGCAGTCCAAATGTAAGAATGTGACATGGTTCCTCTTCTGCCTTAACCATATAAGCCCTCATTCATGCTAAGGTCAGTCTTCTCATATAATAAACTTAAGATACCTGTGTGAAGTCTTTGTACAAAATTTTACTGAAACAGATGTATCAAAACGATTTGGTTATATATTCATGTGACCATACCATGCCTAGGATTGCTCTCATATCTTTTCGATGTAGATTACTCCAGAGGTTGCACCGCTGGCTATCGTTTACTAGTGTTCAGATATATTTTACTTCCTAGCTATTTTGCTTCAGGTGCATAGACCTCCAAGGATACACCTCGCGATGCTCTGAGACTAACAAACTCGATATGTTTGACTTCAGACTACTATATCTACTAGGCATCTGCTATTTCATGCCCGACTGTCATAACTTCTTGGTTAAGCGCCTGGGCTTTCCCATACAGGAGCACATGTAAGGGTTATACATGATCACATGATCACACGGGGATAAACAAGGCACGACACAGGATTTGAGGGTTTTTGTTTTTGTGGCTAGTATGCCTGTCTATCTTTTCTATGCTTATATTGCAAGGGAGCAATACGGACCCCGCTAGGCTGAGATCGCCCTCATGTGTATTATCAAGGTTCAATACTTCGAACGGCGAGTCGATCTCTCTTTTACGGGGATAACTTAAGGCCCTTTATCCAGAGTGTTCACGTGAACGCAGGCTGACCGACTTCAAAGTGACTATACAATTGCTTGTGCGTGACTAGCGGTGTCCCAAGTACCCGGATGTCGAGGAGTCGCGCACTGCTGTGTGAGCGTTGGACGGACCGTCTGTTGCGGCCTCAACCAAAGCAGGAAAAGGGGAATAGCGATAAATAGAACGGCCAATGCTGGTCGGGTTCACACCGTATCCATCGAGACGATAGATCCTGATTTTGGGGCGCCATGAGTGCTTATCTCCCAGCCACCTTGCATGTATCCGCTAGGGATGAACTGGCAAAAATGCCGGGAGTTTAGTTGCTAGGTGGATAGTGATCCTGTTACCCCGGCTACATACCCTTGCTTGTTCCTTACGTTCATAGTGAGGAGTAAAAAAGTGAAGATAGTTTGGAAACCTAGCAACTATTCATTCGTTAGATTATGTTGGTTCTATATCATAAACTAGATGCAGCGATTTTGTAAAACGATAGTAGGGCTGGTAGGGTTGTCATCATAACGTCGCAACTGAATCGTAAAATCATGTAAAACAAACTTGTTAGAATAAATGTCAGGAAGTAATAGGGGCGATGTCAATGCGTATTTCAAGAGATGTTCAACCTAGTGAACCATAACCTCTGGCTGGTGAGAATGTTGATTTGTAGAATCAGCCTTGGGACCATCATCTTTCTGTTCAGAGTCGTCACCCATCTCAACATCCTCATCGCCATCGCCGGCCTCTTCTTCGTCGAGATCCTCCTCATCATCGTCGCTTTCATCCTCGATATCTTCACTCTCAGCATCGGAGATGTCTTCTTCCTCCTCTTCCTTGATGGCGGGCTCGGCGCCCTCCATCTCATGATCTTCACCCTTCACATCCCTCTCTGCATCCGCAAGTTCTCTTACTAGGGCGGCTTCAAGCTCCGCCTCTTCAGCACCATAGGCACCACTGTCATCTTCCAGAATATCAGCTTCTGGCTGATCTGGGGGATATTCGGCTGGTGCAGATTCTTCCGAGTCCCTGATAAAAACAAGTGAGCATTAGCCACATTAATACTCGCATGATGATCATCAAACACTGTACCATTTGATTGCGAATCTAGTCACTCTTGGCTTCTCCGCAAGGATGTTTCGGCGGATCCGCTCAATGATTGGCTTTGCAGGAGGCTCTGCGCTGAGATCCTCCGAGTCGTATTCATTGTTCACATAGTAACCAACACGGACGAATTCTCTACCATCATAGCTACAGGTGAGGAGAATCACGGTGACGCCAAGGATTTCAGATGTAGGAATCCGCTTAAGGTCCGGTGCTTCGGCTTCAAAAATGAACTTGTTCACGCCAACGGGGATGGGACCGACGAAAAGAGAGTCAAGTTCTTGGTCATATTCGGACCTATTCAAGTTAGTTAAATATGTCTGTCGAAAGCGACGTTTCGAGCTTCGCTTACGATGTCGCCGAACCGACGTAAGTGAGCTTCCATTCCAAGTCTAGCATCTGGTTAGCCAAGTATCGCTGTGGGAGCGATATTCTATATAGTACCTTTTTGCAGCTGTTCAAGACATTCGAAAGTAATTTCGAATTGATAGGGAGCAAGGAAAGGGGCGGGGTTGTTCTGGATCTTAACCCCAAGGAGAGAAACAACGGACATGGCGGTAAACGGCTGTCTTTAATTGTAGGGCAAGGTTGGATGGAAATTTTGCGAAGGAGGGGAGAGGTGGTCAATAAGACGGTAGAAGACACTTGGAAAATAATGTCGAAGTCAAACGAAGAGGGAGGGAGGAAGGACGGAGAAACTGGAGACTTCAATCGAGGGGAGGGACACAGCGAGCAAGTACTAATTAAACCAGTTCGACCCTAAAGAAGGATCGACGACGCGCCGCGTCTGTTGGGCGCAATCTCGCGCCCACCGCCTCCATCACGTGAGACGATTCTGCGTGACAGCTGCAGCTTCAGCCACAGCTTGTGAGACGGCATCATCTATCACTGGCATTCCATTGACCTACTGAATCTTATTTTACCCCGGATTCTGTTTGAGGCGGATACCTCCCAAGAGTGATTGGGCGCCTTCCGGCTTCTCCTCTCACAGACTAGGGGTCTTCATATTCATTGTACGTTGCTTGGGTAGCAGAAAAATCGGATCGTCCATTTCCCCCCTCTGCGGAGTCAGTCGCTAACCAGATCCGAACACGCAGATTTTCTTTTCACGACACCTTGATTGGGATCCAGAAAACGCTTTTGTCATGGCTGAAGATGATGCTGAAATGGCCTTTTTCCAGGCCCAGGCGATGAATGCGGACTCCGTGGACTATAAGGCTGTTGAAGACCAGGGCGCTAGTTCAGATTCAGATGATTATGATCCTTCGAAAACACTTCAAGATCAATATTCTGCTTCCGTTCCTGATTCTAAGCAAAGTGAAATCGCTCCTTCAAGTGCTTCTCCTTCAGATCCAACCCCCCCTACACAGTCTATCCCCCTTGAAACGGATCCCAGCCAGCCCGCGGATAGTGCCTACCCTTCCCAGACACCATCCCGAGCTGACTCCCAGGCATCAGCGTCGGCACCTGCGTCGGGTACTTCTGTGCCATTGAAGACGAGGACAATTGGGGGCTTTGTGGTTGAGGACGAAGATGAGGATGACGCGGGTGATGCGGATTATGAACCGCCAGCTGTACTAGGTGTCGAGGACATGAATACTATATCTATGACTGTGCCTCAGCAACCCATTTCAGGAAATGCAAATGAAGATACTCCTACCCCTGATGTATCAATGGACGGTGCTGTGCAGGCATCTGCCAACGCAAAGAATTTTCCCAATAGCTCTTATACCCCTGTTTCTGCTGCTGCTTCTAAAAGCGATACACCTGCGCTTTTGAGCCAGGATATGTACAACTCACGTACTTTACAGCCTGAAAATATGCAAGATAGCGCTGCAGCTACACCCGCTCCTGATTCTCCTTCGACCGCCAAGGGCCGATTGCCTCACGATCGCGTTGGTATCTTGGAGGACAGAATACAAGAAGACCCACGTGGTGACATCCCAGCATGGCTCGAGTTGATCAATGAACACAGAAGCCGCAATAGAATCGACAGTGCACGTGAAGTATACGAGCGTTTCTTGACGGCGTTCCCCTTTTCTGTAAGTATTTCATGCATCGTCTGGAGAAGGCAAGGACTAACCCTTCTTAGGCCGAACAGTGGGTGGCATATGCCACCATGGAGTCTGAGCTCAACGAGTTATATCGCCTTGAACAGATATTCAATAGGACTCTTTTGACTATTGCTGACGTCCAGCTCTGGACGGTATATCTGGACTACGTTCGCCGGCGTAACCCTTTGACAACTGATACTACTGGTCAATCAAGGAGGATTATTTCGTCCGCCTATGATTTAGCACTGCAGTATGTCGGTGTAGATAAGGATTCCGGGTCTATATGGACGGATTATGTCCAGTTCATACGTTCTGGTCCAGGGAATGTCGGCGGTTCTGGGTGGCAGGACCAGCAAAAAATGGATTTGCTGCGCAAGGCTTATCAGAAAGCTATCTGCGTTCCCACTCAAGCTGTCAATAATCTTTGGAAAGAATACGACCAGTTTGAAATGGGTCTAAACAAACTCACGGTAATTTATGCCCTGCTTACCTGTAGTTGCGTGCCCACGCTAATGTTGCTATGCTTATGTATAGGGACGGAAGTTCCTTCAGGAGCAGTCGCCCTCGTACATGACCGCTCGCAGCTCTTACACAGAACTGCAAAATATCACCAGGGACCTGAACCGGACAACTTTACCAAGGCTACCCCCTGTTCTAGGCTCTGATGGTGACATTGAATTCGGGCAACAGGTTGATATCTGGAAGCGCTGGATCAAATGGGAGAAAGGAGACCCACTTGTTCTAAAAGAGGAAGATCAGGCTGCTTTCAAAGCTCGTGTAATTTATGTGTATAAGCAAGCTCTCATGGCTCTTAGGTTCTTACCAGAGATATGGTTTGAGGCTGCTGAATTCTGCTTCCTAAACGACATGGAGAACGAGGGCAATGAATTCTTAAAGAACGGCATAGAAGCTAACCCGGAGAGTTGTCTTCTCGCGTTCAAGCGTGCTGACCGGCTGGAACTCACTTCAGAGTCCGAACAAGATCCCATAAAGCGAGGTGCCAAGGTTAGAGAACCTTATGACAAGCTTCTTAATGCGCTTTACGACTTAATCGCCAAAGCACGCACGCGAGAATCTCAAGATGTTGCACGACTCGAGGAAACTTTCGCGAAAATGAACCCGGATACTCAGCCGTCCAAGACAGACGATGACGATGACGACCAAAGTGACTCGAAGGCAAGAGAGTCGATGAAGAACGCCCAGATCGAAGCCCTGCGCAATGCGCATGCAATCCAAATCAACATCCTTTCCAAAACGGTCTCGTTCGCATGGATTGCTCTCATGCGCGCAATGCGCCGCATACAAGGCAAGGGTAAACCTGGCGAAATGCCTGGCTCCAGACAAGTGTTTGCGGACGCCCGCAAAAGAGGACGTATCACTAGTGATGTCTATATTGCAAGCGCACTCATCGAATATCACTGCTATAAAGACCCGGCTGCAACAAAGATCTTCGAAAGGGGTGCTAAGCTATTTCCCGAGGATGAGAATTTCGCACTCGAATACTTGAAGCACTTGATTGACATTAATGATGTTATCAGTAAGTCCCCTGATCCCATTTAGTAGGTCGTTCTGAGGTGGAAGCTGATACCTCTTTCCAGACGCTCGTGCAGTCTTCGAGATGACGGTAAGAAAGCTGGCATCTAACCCAGAAAATGTGCACAAGACCAAACCCATCTTTGCCTTCCTTCACGAATACGAGTCTCGTTACGGAGATTTAGTACAAGTCATAAATCTGGAGAATCGCATGCGTGAACTGTTCCCCGAAGACCCGACATTAGAACAGTTCGCCCATCGATACTCTAGCCCTGCTTTCGACCCTACCGTGGTGCGGCCGATCATCTCTCCCTCCCAAACAAGGCCCAAGACAGCATTCCCAACGGAGCAGCCCGTGTCTCGTCATGGCACGCCATCTTCGAGGTATCCGGATGCGTCAGTAACCAACTCCCCGAAAAGACCATTAGAAGACTTTGATGACGATACGAATCGACCGCGCAAGTTTATTCGAGCTGACTCCCCGCTGAAAACAGCCCAGAGGCGACAGTTGGACCCGCCAAAACGTACTCAACAAGTCATCAGCAGCCAGACTGGATCTCAATTTCGGTCACAAGGTTCACCTGCTCCACTGCCTCGTGACATTGTTTATCTCCTGAGCATCATTCCCTCGGCATCAGCCTATAACGCTGGTCGGTTCTCACCAGAGAAGTTGGTTGACCTTATCCGAAGAATTGATATGCCCACCTCCATCTCACAGATTCCACTTCCACCCTCTGTCCGCGGGCTTGGGTTTCCTGGTACGCCTCCAGTTCTCTAGAATCTTTTTGGAACCCCACCTTTCTTTTGTCCGAATAGTGGAACTAATGCTTGCCGTTTCCGACAGGTGTCTATCGCCCACAGTAATATACCAACGCATAGAGGCATGGTTCCTACTATTGCTTGATGATAATGCGCAATATCTGAATATCTTGGGTTCACATTGCCTGGTGTCTCGCATCGGCTTCAACCACATCTCATCGGCCTGGCGTGTCTTAGATCTGTAGTCATTTTCAAACGTTGCTTACATTTGACGAACGGCGTTCAAGTTTGGTTTGGCAAATTGTCACGAAACCCCTATCAGCTGGGATCAACAAGCAAATATCACTCGGTGACTTTCTTTTGGGTAGGATATGTTATCCATTGCAGGTTGGGTTTGTACAGTTTTTTCTTTATATCTTTGGTCTCCAATATGAAACGGGTCACTAGGAAGTTGTGGTGGGTGGATGAAGGGGAAATTTTGTTTCGTTCTATGGCACGGATTGTGCGATTCTCAGGATACCTCTCGAGTCTGCAATATCTTTCTTCTACTTTGACAATGGTATTTAACGTATTCTTGAAGTGACGACGTTTTCCACCTGAGTAAAAGGCGTGGTGCGATGTATCATCCAGATCGTTCCTTCAATAAGCCTCTATGCAAGTGTGCCACAGCGTGATGAGAACATGATATTGCCAGCGGTGCTAAAGCCCAGACTGATCTTCTGCAGCTCCACAGCCTTGTTCTATCCACTGCCTTAGTTCCAGAACATATGTATCTCGGCCTCGACTTGCTCTATTAGTATTTTCCTTGGGGAGCGCCACCTCCACAACGTGCGCAGTGGCTGAGAGATGTCAAGTATAGAACAGTCCGAAAGAGGCAAGCTTTTCAAACGTGACACTGACTGTGACGGGATTTCCAGCAAGAGATCTGGTCAACCACTGTCAACTTCTGTTGACTCTGGCCACGCAACTCCTCCAAGGCTCTTTCCCGGTGTCCGTTGATACCCATCCTCACTCACAGGAGACAAGCGGTAGTCACGACGGTCTATTGAACCTTCCTCATCTGACCCTTGATCTATTCTTCCATCTTCCACCTTCCACCTTCCACTTTTCAAGCTGCTCAATCAACTCTCATCATCATCATCATCATCATCATCACCATCACCCTTGGCAACACCTTGAGCCAATCATTGAACTACACCTCACTTGCCCTGTTGTGTTTCTTTGGCAACATCTCACCTCCCTCACCTTCCTCACCTCACCTCTTCCATCCTGCTTCTTCAACATCTTCTTACCTCATTCTACCACACATCTCATCACCTCCCATCACCAATCAACCCTCCACCGACCTCTATCATTCATTCTTACCTTCATCACCGCTCGCCATTTTCCATCCTTGTGTCTGCCCCACAAACGTCTTACAATCCGTTGTAACCCTGCATCCGAAGACAACGTCCATTCCGTTCCATTCCACCTGCATCATAACCCCAACCACCAATCTAAGAATGGCTTCAGTACCTCTTATCGACCCAGCTTTGGATAAACCAAGGCTAAAAACCGATGTGTGCCGAAACGTTGACCTGCCCTTGTCAGCTTTCGCGATTAACCATTTGGTAAGTAGGGGTTTAATCCACATTCCCTTGGGCATTCTCGCCTTCTATTCTTATTCTTCTTTCCTTGGACTCGTCTGTCTTTTTTTGTTCTCTTTTGCCACATTAATTCCCTTGTCTTGGTTCTTCTTTGGTCTTTTTGTTATTCTCTCCACCCTTCACTGTGCGGATTCCTTCCCACGCCCATGCTCATTCCCGTTTACCCAAACGGCACATACATGGAATCACGGGGATTCACAGGCCGAAGGCTATCCATCGATGTGGGAAGCCGGCATTCATTGACTTGTCTTCTATTACCTGAATCAAGTGCAAACGCTTCACAGGATGGCGTTCTCCCCTTATAAAAAGCCCTATCTTCCTCCCTATCAAACTTATTCGCTTTCCCTCGTCTGTCCCATACCGGTAGGATCTTGCTGCCTCGTTTTGTTTCTTTAATACTGCCGCTCTCCTGGTCTCATACCAGCGATACGTCTGCTTTCTCTTCTACCATGGAGGAATTCGAAGTCGTCAATAAACTTACCGGCGGCCTCCGCCACCTCCGAGTTCGTGAAGCTGACGAAGTCGTCAAGTATTCTGTCCCAGTCGAAACTGTGCCTCGTCCGGGTTTCAACACCACTGGCAAAGAAGTGGATATTTCTCTAAACGCATACCCGATCACCAAGTTCCCTAGTAGGAACGTTTACCAATACGATGTGAGTGTCTCCGGCAGCCATTGGCTCAGCCAATGAGTCCATCCAATGCCTCATAAGAAGACCTGGAGTAACTCAGAATATAGGTCAACATCGGGAGCGGTGATGAGAAAAATATCGTCTGCAAGAAGGTCTGGAACTCGAATGCGAGAAAGACTGCTTTGAAGCAGATCATCTACGATGGTCGCAAGCTTGCATGGTATGTCCCATAATGCACAATCTATAGAAAGAGGGGTTGCTCACCGTCACAGGTCGATGAACAACTATTCGAACGGACTGAATATTATGGTCGACCTTGATGCCGAACAAGGCCGCCCTGGAGGTCGAACCTCGAATGCGTTCCGTCTAGTTGTACGGCCTACTAAGACGGTCAATCTCGCCGTCTTGAATGCCTGGCTCCAGGGACGTGCTGCTTTTTCTGAATCTGTTTTAGAGGCTCTGAGTATGTGCCTTCTTTCTCCTGTCTCTTCTTACCATTATGGTTGTCTTCAAAAATAAACTAACCATCAAAGATTTTCTTGACCACGTCATTCGGGAATGGCCCAGCGGCAAATTTTTGGCAATTCGCCGGTCCTTCTTCGACGAAAATGGAGAGCACAAGGACTTGGGCAATGGTGTGTTGGCCTTCAAGGGCGTCTATGAGGCTATTAGGCCTGCTATTGTAAGCCAATGCTCTTTTTGTATCTATTCCTCAGACTGACAATGCTATCTAGAATCGTGGGCTTATTGTCAACATTGACGTGTCAAACACTTGCTTCTGGGCTCGCACTTCTTTTTTGGGTGCTGCTATGGCCGTCTTGGACTGTCGTGATCATCAGCATCTCATGCATGAGCTTAGACCTGTCGCGGATGGTCACGGCGGCACAACCGAATCGAACGCATTTTTTGAAGTCCACCGCCGGCTGAAAAAGCTCGTGGTCCAAGCACATTACCGGGGCTGCCCTTGCACGAATGTGAATTTTACTGTTAAGGGCCTCATCAATGCCAGTGCTAGCAAGTACATTATCGAGATCAAGGACAAAGCGACCGGTATCATTGAGAAGATCACAGTTGAGCAATATTTCAAGAAGAAATACAACCTTCTACTCACATACCCAGATCTTCCCATGGTTGAAATGACAAAGAAAGGCATTGTCTACCCCATGGAGTACTTGACTATCCATGGTCTCCACAAATATCCTTGGAAACTAAACGAATACCAGACCTCGCAGATGATCAAATATGCTGCGGCACGCCCAGCTGATCGTCTCAATTCAATCCATAAGTCCAAGAGAATGCTGGATCATTCTAAGGATCCGGTTCTACAGACTTTCGGACTCCAAATTGACGAAAACATGATCCGTACTAAGGCTCGATTGCTTCCAAACCCTGATATCCAGTTTGGCGGCAACCAACGTCACAATCCAGGAACCAACGGCCGCTGGGATCTTCGTGGAAAGAAGTTCTACCAGCCGAACAAACAGCCTCTCAGCTGCTGGGGTGTTGGGTTTATCCCAGGCAAACGCAACGCCATCAACAGAACCCAGGTGGAACACTTTGTTGACGGTTTCATGAAGACCTATGCTGGCCATGGAGGAAATGTTACCCAACGTCCCTTAATTGCTGAATTGACAGAGGACACCGGTGAGGCCATAAAGAGACTTTTCAACTCAACCGGTAACAAATTCCAAAGGGAGCCCCAGCTCCTGTTGATTATTGTCCCAGACAAGAACTCGTTCACATACCTCCGGATTAAGAAATCCTGTGACTGCCGTTGGGGTGTGCCTTCCCAGGTCTTGCAGTCTGCCCACGTGGCTAAGGCGAACCCGCAGTATATTTCTAACGTTTTGATGAAAGTCAATGCAAAGCTCGGGGGTACCACTGCTCGCATTATACCAAAAGTCAATGATGCCAACCTCAGGCCAATGTCGATGATCATTGGTGCGGATGTCACGCATCCTACCATAGGTGTTTGGTCGCCTTCGATGGCCGCTGTATCCGTCTGCATGGATACTTTTGGTGGGCGCTACTGGGGTGCCTGTGAGACGAATGGCGACCGAGTGGAGGTTATCGCTCGTGCAAATATGGAGCACATGCTCACCCCACTTGTGCGAGAGTGGATGTCTACTGTTGGTCAAGGACGCGCCCCCGAAAACGTTTATTACTTCCGCGATGGTGTCTCAGAGGGGGAGAGAGAGAAGATTCTCAAGCAAGAAGTCTTGGATATGAAGTCTATCTTCATGAAATTAACCCAAGATAAATGGAAGGGAAAGTTTACAGTTATCATCGCAAACAAGCGCCACCATATCCGAGCATTCCCTAAACCGAATGATCGTAATGCGGCCGACAAAAACGGTAATCCTCTGCCAGGACTTCTCATTGAGAAGGACGTTACTAGCCCGCATGACTGGGACTTCTTCCTATACTCTCACATTGCACTTCAAGGTACCTCACGGCCCGTCCATTACCATGTTATTTTGGACCAAATTGGGCACAAAGCACATCAGCTAGAGAACATGATCTATGATCATTGTTATCAGTACATGCGGTCTACTACCTCGGTTTCATTGTGTACGCACCTTTTTCTCCCTATTGTATAAGACTTCGTGACTAACATAAACAACTATAGTCCCCGCAGTTTACTATGCACACCTTATTGCGGCCCGCGCTCGTCATCATGAGGATGTGCCTGCCAGTTCTGGTCCGCGAAGCGGACGCGAAGTTCCAATGACGAACCCTAAGCCCAAGGATAAGCCCGTCGACCCGAGGCTCCTGCCAATTCACGGTACTCCAAATAGACTGCCCTTCGCAGTTTGGTACATCTAAGTGCTGGCTATATGGATACTTGAATATTACGCAAAGCGGCAAATTTATTTTCACCACTTGTCTACGTCTCCCCAGCCATGTCTGGCATATGGACTGGGTTATCTCCGCTCCTTTAGCTTTGCTTGCTGCGTTGGCTCATGTTATCAGGATTTTCCATTAGCCATGGTCATGCATTTAGAGGTTCGAGTCAGCGACGGCTGAGCCAACGGGACTGACTGCCTTTAGCAAGGGCGGATGGATCTGGAGGATACGGCTGTTGTGGACGAGAGTTTCAGTATGTACCTAAGGAATATCTTTAGGCTTTCACAATCTCATCTCAACTTGCTTTGCTACGTCCTTCAGTACCAAACACCCACGGGGCGTATGGCAGTAGATGTAATCATCATCATGTTTCTAAATCTTTGGTACCATGACATAACGAAAACGGAATCGAGTGCGTCTCACCAATAGGTAAGATAGTCGACTGAAAACAAAACTTGGTTTTAAACTGCAGCTTAGCCAGGCACTGGATTGTTAAGGTCTTTATGTCAGATAACATGTTATGTACTATACGAGTATTGATCTCTGTTTAGAGTAGCAGAGCAGAAAATCGGATAATACATCGATGATGAATGGACCAGTAGAGCAGAACAGCAAGTAAAAAGTGGAGACATGGCATGAACGAGCAAGCAAAACGAGGGAAAGGAGTAGTAAGGTAGGAAGAAGAAATGAAATCCAAACGAAGAGAGAAAGAAATACTGCGCACGCTTATATTAGCATACGAGTACATGGTATAGAAGAAGAGGAATCACCAAAGTACAGTAAAAAGAGACAAGGAAAGACACCCAGATGTGAACAATTTGGCCCGAACTGATTTGCTGCTCTAGGGTGCACCCTTTGTCTCGAAGTCAAAGAAGGATAAAATAGAATAGTCAAGGATTAGAACCAGCTGGTACAGAAAATGGATGAGTTGCTGTGCTGTTTATTCCCTCCTAAAATCATGCCATGCTGCGCCATTCCATATAATCACCTGTTATCTTTTTTGTTTCAATGTCCCGGTCCCTAATGCAGAATAATTGAGAGAAAGGAGGGAAAATGGAAGAGAACGCTGCTGCCAGAAAACCAGAATATCGAATTCTCATCGCTAGCGTTCCCCCGGTGTTCGGATGTGAGTCGTTGTCTATTTCATGCCCAAGAAACTGGCTTCACCTGCCCAACCAGAAATGCCGGGTATTCATGCACTTTAGAAAAACACTGAAAGTGAGAAATAATGCAGAAATAAATGTAACAGAAAGGGTTTTAGGACCCTGGAAGATAGATGAGAGAGAGTCATCCAAAGGTATAAGTAGTGGAAAGGCTGTACAAGTACCATTGTGGCCTGCAATACGAGGGGTTCGGTATGTTTCGTATAACATCATGATGTATCACCCACTGTACCGTTTGTCAAAGGAACCGTGCTGTTGTTACTTTTGTTTGGATCGCCGTTGGCATCACCGGCGCCTTCACCAGCAGCGGTGACGTCTGACATGGAGCTATCTGGTCCGTTCTTAATGTTGTTAGAATCAGCGACGGGACCCCCCGGGACCTCAGCAGAATCCTTGGAATCCAAGTTTGTCGATGTTGGGTCATCGGTAGTCTTAGTGCCATCCAGATTCGCTGCAGCTTCGTCCCCGTCGGCAGCTGATCCAGGAATTTCCAGGGCCACGCCACTGTTCTTCTTGACCTTCTTCTTACTGGGTTCTGAGGGCCCAGGCTTGATAGCGTTTGGTTGCTGACCAGGAGCTGCCGGAGGGAGTGGCCGCTTTTGGGGGCTGGAAGTCGGCCCGGTCGGGGCTGAGGGTGGCTGGATCTTGCCAGAGGCTGGAAGACGAGGTTTAGCAGCCATTGGTCTTTGTTTCGGTGGTAGTTCGAGATCTTCAACCAGACCCTCGTTGTTGTTCGCTTGCAACTTGGCACCGAAAAACCCTTGGACCAATCCAATTTGTGCCGGTAACGTCTCCGATGTGATCCGTGGGTATGGAGGGGGCGGTGGGAAGAGGGTTACGGTTTGGGTAGAGCTAAGAAACGGTGAGTATCCATAATGCATCCGGGAGTTGTCTACCATACCTTGTATTCTGGGACTGAGCAGCGTTATACATCCTATTCTGAAGCAGGTGAAGCGGGACACTGAGAGTAGCCAAGCCGAATTCCTTATCCAGACCGAGCTCCTTGAATCCAAAGAAATCTTCGTCAATGTCTTCAGCGAAGTCACCACCAACGAACTGTTCACTGCCATCTGCAAATGCACTGGAACCATCTTCACCTCCATCGGCAAGGGCAGGCCGCAGAAGCTCAGAAAGCAAAGACCTCAAGCGGTCATGGACAGTCGCGAGCTTCGTTCCAAGTCGTTCCACATCGTCTTTTATATAAGACTCAATGTCTTCAACTCCGATGCCGACAGAGTTCAGTGTGTGAAGCACAATTTCCGGTTCGGTGTATGCCTTTTTCCACTGATTGCTTGAAGACACAATATCCGTTGAATCGTTGGTAGGAACTTTGGGTGCCTCAATATAAGACTTGAAGGTTTCTCCTATCTTCTGAAAAAAATCAGAAGCGATATCAGTGACAGCGTCAAGAGCTGACGGTTGGTACTCCTCGAATCCAGTATGATAGAATATCTTTGCAACGGAGCGCTGCAAAGCTGCCTTGCAAACCCATGGAGAAACAACAGGTCCTTCATCATTCATCACATGAGGAGGAACATCGTGTTCAACAAATGGTTCCGGCTGGTATTTCTGGAATTGGTTCTGGTACATCTACAATTCAAATTAGAATATTCACCAGCCCTCACAGGAGCGAGCAAACATACCTGAGATTGCAACTGCATCTGCTTGACTATGCCAATTTTGGAGCAAATCTTTCGAGTCTCTTGCATTTGCCGCATATTCGCATCCATCTTGCGGGAAAGTTTGCTCTCGGGCTGGGTGAATGTTCCCTTCGGCAGGATCCTAAGAAACTCCTCTGAAGCATCCACGATATTGCCATCAGAGTCTTCCCTCCAGAGCAGTTGCCCAGGCAGATCAGGAACGCCTGACATAACATCGTAATAATCAGGAATCACTTTATCCTCTTCGACCTCAATCCCTTCAGCAAGAGATTCACCAGCCGGGCCAGGCCCCATGGCTTGTGCACTTGGCTCGTTGGACTTATCACCTTCCGCATTGATCTGTTTTTGATTCCTCAGCCACCTTCGCATACCAGCTTTGGTGCGCAGTAGAGCCGGTTCGTCCGAGTTTAGCTTGTCACCTTTAAACAACCGATGCCTTTCTGCAGCAATAAGAGCTCTGTCTTTTTTCGTGACTTGCTTCCAAACCTTGTACTCAGGATCCTCGGCCTCCGCGCCCGGTGCTGATAAAGCACTAAGTGCATTAGACGGGGGCGCTAACCCATCAATTTCCATAGAATCGCCATGACTTCCGGAGACACCAGCTGCGACGCCAGCAGGGTCTGAAGGTGTCTGTGTCCCGGGTGGTGGTGTCGCGAAACCGTTTTGGGTGCCATCGGCAGGGACATCGGAGTCCGCGCGTGCAGGTGCTGGTGGCTGGGAAGATGCACCTGCAGGCGGCTCAGACCCGCTAGGGGTATTTCGAGCTGGAGCAGCACCTTTCTTGGACGATTTACCGGGAGCTTTCCTACCTCTGGACGACATGATAGGCTCATCGTCACTCTCTTCTGCACCGTCAAGCTCCGCGAGCTGAAGTCTACGCTCCTCTGCTTCAACTTCAGCACGATCTCTGATTACAATCTCTGGAATAAGAGGAACAAGCTTCTCCGTCTCCTTTTTCATGTACAAGGCATGCTTGCGCAGAAAATGGTCCGGATTTGTGTTATATTTGAAACAGTTGGACCAGATCAGATTGATGTCATCAACAAACTCTTGCTTTGACTTATACTGCAGTGCTTTCAGCTTCTTGGTCATTGTTCCCAGGTCCATGGGATGCTTGATGACTGTTTAATGAATTAGTACAGGCGTGACTTCGAGTCAAGGGTATATCGTACTTGTGTAATAATCCGGCGCATCTCGTTTATTCACACGAGTCAAAAAGGCACTCGAATGCTCCGTCATCGCTTTAAGTTCGCTGAGGACTTTCTCCGCAGCTTCGTATAGCTCTTCCTGGCCGATTTTATCCTCACTGGCCCATTTGCTGCGATTCTTCCGTACCTCGCTCATCAAACTCCGAAGCTCTGCATCAGAGGCTTGCACCATTGTCCGCTTCATGTCGATTCTCGCAATAAGATTCTTCAACGTTAGACTCGACGCGCCAAGGTTAGCATTGCTCAACGAGCCGTACCCGTTTGAAGTTGAAGTCGCATTGCTGCCAGCATTGGCTTGGCTCGACATTTCAGCTTCAACTTGCCGTTCAGACTCTTCTAGGCGTTGTTGATCCAGCATAGCATCTCGGTCATTTTCTAGTGTATAGAAAATGGTATGGAAACTTCTCTTCGCAGCTTCCTCAGTTGCTTTCTTGTCTTCCTCCAACTTCTTCCGGATATCTTCCAACGTCTCTTTCTTCGTCTCTTTCGAGACATCACCGCCTGCCGATGTCGTACCACTCGTATAGCGACTTAGGGGAGGAGCACTAGATTCCTGGGAAGGGGTGAGCGGTTTGGGCTTTGGCGGCGATGGAGCATCATCATCATCATCATCGTCGTCATAGTCATCGTAGTCATCGTCATCCAGCTTCCTCGCGGGTTTCTTAGCGGGAACCGGAGGAGGTGCGGGTTCATCAGCGCGCTCATTCTTGGTGTCGGGCTCATTAGCGTCCGCGACGGAGGCGCCAACGAGGTCCTCCACATTTTTCTGGCCAGCAAATAGGTTATTTATTTTCGCCTCACTGCGTCTGTATAGATCGCGAAATATGGCAATGCGTGGGTCTTCCTCGGCTGCCATATCAGCCTCCGATATCAGATTACCCGCGTGAGACCCATCAGCGTCGACCGAGGCGCGCATTTGGGGCGTCCTGGGGCCGGAAAATGATTTCGAGTAGCCATTGATTGCCCGCGAATCGTGATGATCATCGGGAGGCCGAAGATGTCCTGGTGGCAACCAGGTGTGGTGGTGTCCGAGCGACATGCTCGCTCCAAGACCCCAGTTCTGGGGCGGGCGAGGGGGCTCGTTTCTCCACGGTTAAATTCAGGTGCGGAGAGGCAGCAACAAGGTGGCTGGAGTGACGGGAAAAAACATAGAGACAAACTAAGAGGTGCAAAGAAGAGAGAGGAGATAATCTCCGACCCAAAAACGATGGGACGGGCGGAGATTTTGATGGGGAAGTGAACGGCTTCTGTACGAGGTTCTCTGCGCGAACGGATGAAGTGAAGTCGATCCCGTGAAGGCGGAACGGTTGCCGCAGCCTTCAGACCAACCGCGCAGTTCTCTTGAGAATGATCAACGGTTTTCTTATCCGGTATAGTATATTATATTGGGATGGAAATGTGTAGTATATAGTCCGTGTATAATTTAGTATATTAGTTGGTGAACTCCCCACATCCAGTGGACTTGAGATTGGATGGCGGCGACAATGAATCCAAAGAAGGTACTTTTTTCATTGTTGCAGGTGTTCTGATATCTGATTCCCCATCCGACCTGATGTTCCCTCAGTTAAGCACATGACGCACCCGGAATCATTATCGCTACTCTTTCTCGACCACAACTTCTCTCCGCACGCCTCCTTGACCACCACCCAAGCATCATGCGGATCCGCTATCCTTTCGCGGGTATGTTACCTCTGTTGACAAGATTCGCAGCTTCCTCCTCCTCTTCCAGAAAACCATCATAGACATTCGTCCTACATCATCAGTCACTGACTTATCCGAACCTCCGCAGGCGCCTTCGTCTTCGTCTTGCTCTTGGCTGCCTATATCGGTCTTCTCCCCCACAGTGCATCTCCCAGCGTTCCGTCGAAACTACAGCCCAATGACAAGTTTCTCCATGTCGTGACGTTCTTCCTGCTGTCTCTCATCTTCTACTGGATTCCCGACACCACCCGTCGACGCACGTTACAATTGACCTTAATTGTCTGCACCGTTGTTCTGGGAATTGGCTCCGAGATTGTCCAAGGAATCCTCCCCAATGGTCGCTCGTTCGACCCGTTTGACCTCCTCGCCAACATAGTGGGCAGTCTCGGCGCAGTCGGCCTGTGCAGTTGGTACCACCGGCGGATGATGGAGAGGCGGCGCAAAGCCCGTTTCGGAGCTCTTGGAGACGCCACAGATGACGTTGAGCTCGGCGTCGGCCCCGGCCATGGTGAGACCGACCATGAGCAGGAGGGGTTAGGGGCCCAGGAAACGGGGGTTACGAATCTGGAGCGTGAGGTCGACAATTGGGATGAGAATGCTGTCGATAACTGGGATTCGGATGACGGTGCGAACGAGCCCTCCGGTTTGATCGGAGACGGCTCGGAATCCTCCGCGCCTGCCGTCAACGGGGACAAGGGAGAGGGGAAGAAACGAAGTGACTGATTCGATCTACACTGAGATCTAAATCTAATCGCCATGAAACCTACCTGGTCGTTGTTACCGTGGAGACCAACCTTCACGCCATTGCCATCCTTACCAATGTCGCCATATCCATACCCTATCCCTTATGACTGGTCTGTTCTACCGATTTATCCATCATGTTTTACGCCCTCCTTCAAGCTATATCCCAACCTGTTATTGCTATGTTGCTCAGCTTGCTTGATGATTAATTTGCAGGATATAACACTCCTTACGATCTTGAACTTGATTATCTCATTTTGTGGATTTGCGGTCCGTCCTCGCACACTAAGTCTCGACTTTCTGGCGTGTTCTTTTCATCAGGGACTTCCGGCGTTGTAAATAAGGTACAAAACTATGCGCTTTCTAATATACGGAGCAGAATATCGCTGAAAGCAAATCCTATTATCTTACCCGTACACCAGTCTTCATGCTATAACCGTACAGCCTGGTAAAATTATACAGCGAAGAATGAAAATCGTGAAACAGAGCTTGAAGCATTTCGTATAGGACTCTCAGTACCTTGTAAGGTGGAACTGAACCATAAACAGTGGTAGCCATGCTCCCACACAAGACTCTAGCAAACACATGAGGACATGAGTGTCGTAAATTGGATATTCAAACATGGTGAAAGGTTATGCAATTAAGCGCAAAAAAAGGCGTGAAGCCGAATGCAAGTCAGGAACTCATAGTTCGTCGTGAATGCTGCAACTTGGGAAACAGATGAGAAAGCTATTAAGAGAACTATATATATAACAGTGAAAGATGGCCCTGCCGTAGCCTGGTGATTTGTCCGTAATGCGACGCAATAAAAACAGGAGCGAGAACCTCTATTCGTTGTCGGAGACTTCTGGGGTTCCCGACCAGCTTCTGGTTGGCGTAGAGGCACGATCCGAGACAGGCTCCAGCTCTGGTTTCGAGGAAGGCAGGTAGTAGGACTCGGTGGATAACTTGGCCATTTTTGAAGATCGTTCATCGGACTTTCGCCCGTTGACTTCAGGGACCTTCCCAAGCTTCCGGTCGATTTGTTCTCGCAAGACCTCGTAGATAAACTGCAGCTGCATCTCATTGTAAACCATCATCATTCTCTGCTCGCGCATTTGGTTGACCGTTTCAAAGACTGGGTCAACCTCTGGGTCAGTGACTTGCAACAATTGGTCAGATTGAAGCTCCAGTAGGAGATGATCGAGGGCAATGAAAGTGCCTGTTCGGCCGACACCAGCACTACAGTGCACGATACGTGGGTTATCCCAGGAGCTCTTGGAGCCTGATTGTTCAATCAAGTGAAGAAGTGCGCTGCGGTCGTCGCCTTCAGGCTTGGAATAGTCCGCCCACCCAGCAAAGAGGAAATGCCAAACGATCTTCGATTCGGCACCCAAAGTGAGTCGCAACTTGCGGATTTCGGAACGGGACTTCTCGTCAAAAGTGGTCTCTAGCAGCGCAACCGTGCCCACGACGTTTTCATCTCCGATCGGGTGGTTCTCGTTGCTCATATATGGGTCACGTTCGTCTTCCCGCAGTAGGATCAAGGGATTATCACTACTGAGAGGGAAATACTGAGAGCATTTCTCTCGTCCAGACTCAAATGTTTGGGTAAGCATAACGATGACACCCACTTCCTTCGTTTCGTGGAATACCATGTGCCAGAAATGGGATATATTTCCTACTTTCGGTCCCTGGAGTGGAGTGGTTAGAAAGCACACTTCTTTACCAGCGCGGCGGCATGCTCACCTGCGTCGCGATATACCTTCTCTCCTCCTGGGACACGGAATCCTTCAGAGTAATCGGCGAGGCATTGATAAAATCACACTCGCCATCGTTTACGCGAAGATGGATACGAGAGTTTGCCCACGCCTGCACATTCATATATCGGTTCCTTGCCTTGACCTCTGGATCGGCCTCCAGCGCCCAACGATGGGAGGGGTCGTTGGCGAGCATACCTTCTGCGAGACGTGTCCGCTGTATCCACTCGAGTTCCTCGAATTTTTGATGGATCTCTGGAAAATGAAACGGCCATCTGATTAGCCCTACTGGAACATGACCGACGAACATCCGGAGTAGTGGGAACAGGAGCGAACCAACCTAAGACGGACTGGCAGAGAAAATGTGGGACGGAGTCAGTATCTCCAGCTTCCAGACCCGGGCCATCCTGATCAGGGCCGTCCAAGACCTCGAAGCCTTCATCGTTGTCTTCGGGAAGGGCGCGCTTGGTCGCTTGAACGTTTGTGTCGATCTTGATGGTGGGATGAGCCATTTTGGCCGCAGCTATCCTTTGGAAGGCCCGAACCTTGCCCAGGACGCCGCGCGCCTTTCTTGAGACCCGCTTCTTAGTCGACACAAGCTTTCGGGGTCCGGAGCGGAGGCTGAAGGCGTCGGGCGATGTAGAGCGGGAAGGTGGTGCAGTAACGAGTTCCCCCTCAATGCCGGATGGATCGTCGTTCGCGCCGTTCGGCGGTTGCGGCAGGGATGATATCTGTAGCGTGGACAGATCGGGACAGCTGTGGAAGCTGCCCCTCGTCGTGATTTGCTTGGCCAGATTTTTAGATCTTACCGGAGCAAATCGCTGCCAAATCTTAGTGGGCGGATATCGGCGAAGTCGGAGACCAACAACGTTGAAACTCAGGACACCGCGCAGTGTCGATAACGGTCACTCTCGCTGAAGACAAAAAAGACGATGTGGTTGGCGTGAATAATTATTGAAGCCCCCACAGAATCACAGGGCGTAATATAGACAGAACGAGGGGCACAGTAGTCAATAGAGAAAAAAAGAAAAAAGAAATAAATAAAAAATTAAGTAAACAGATATTAAATGCCCCCCGGAAACAGGGCCAAAAAATTTTAGAATAAGAAAAAAATATTCTTCCCCCGCACTTCTATATTGGAAGGACGTGCCAGCAGTCCAGGATTGGGAGAAGGAATAATCGGCGGCAATTGTCGGAATCAATGTATCAATCAGATCAATTCTGCAGATGGTTGGAGAAGTTCAAGACAGTAAAGAACGAAAGAAAGAGTCGAGAAAGTTCCCAGGGGATCACGGCAGGGGTTCAATGAGAATGGAAATTGTCGGCGTGACTCTCGACCGTGACTCTCGACGGTGATGTAATTTGAAGAAGGGATAAATTGATACAATGGAAGAATCTTGTAAGCTTGGGGAGGAAAAGAGTACAAAGGTAAAGAAAAAGAAAAAGAAAAAGATATATAATCAGATCGGAATGGTCATAATAAAATACAATCAAATTAAAATTAAAATTGTTGTACAGGAGAAGTTCTGGGGAATTTTTCTACAAGACGATCAGGTCCATAGATCTACCTAAAAGAAGTAATGATAACACATTCCACGTTTAATTCCTCCCGTTGCACGACTTCGTCAATTACTTGCCACAAAATTAAACCCGGGCTGGTGGACTGAAACCGTCGCTTTTGACTGGCTGCAGGTCATCTGTTGTGGCACAACTAAAGGCTTGACTTGGGAAAGGCCACTTTCTGACTGACTAGTCTTCTTTCCGTTTCTCTGACAGCACAGAAAAACCTCCTCGGCTTCTGTTTCTCCTCCCTCTTCTTTTTCCTTCCTTCGGCTCTTGAGGCCTGTGGTCTCGTTGCTCGTCAGCTGCCACCGACATTCTCCATACATTTGCCTCCTGTGATTACTAGGTACTAACAGCCCATTCGCAAGATGGTGTTCCGAATGTTCTGGCTCCGGACATTCGAGGTACGTAATCGCGCGGTTCCAGACCAGCTTCTTTCCTACTGCCATTTTCGATATCATCCATGACTGACTCATTCCCCTCCAATTAGGTTTGGCTCACTGCTCGGGTATGCACATCCACACACAACCGCCTACACGCGAGTTTCGTACTGATATTCTCTCGTATAGCTGCTGGCCAGCCCGGCGTTTCACAGACTTGTGGGACGAGTCCATCAAAAGGTCCAACATTTGAAACATGGGGTGCCTCCCGAAGAAATGGGAGGTACTCATAGAGACAGTCATGGTATGGCGCTCGTGTGCTTACAGGATGAAATGTTCAAGTGCTGAGCTGGTGCTGATGGCATCTCTAGGACCCGGTTTGAGCAAGTTTATCGAGTACTTTAAGGAGGAGATCAAAGACCAGCTCAAAGGAAAACCGCCGAATAAGCTCTAATGATGGGCCTTGGTATATGGTTTCAATCATTCCCCAAGCTCTGTGTACGATTATGACTACTACTATGATACCCAATTTAGTTTCTCTTCTCTATTTTCCTGTCTTCTGTCTTTTCGTCTTTTTGTCCCTTTCATTATCGTTGTTGATCTCGTACTTCTAGATTTCACACGCTTGTGTGACCGGATATAGATTGGGCTGTAACTCTTCTACACCGTGAGCTACATCCCTCATTCCATCCGGAGATCAAACGTCAACTGCTCCATCCGCTTTGCCCATCCGGTTCTGTCAATGGTCTAGTTCGGCTTTGGAAGTTGGAAGCATACATATCAATAGAATACAATACCTAGAAGGCTTATGCAATCGGAATATTATTCTTTTTGATCCTAAAAGCAGTGTTGATCTGATGTAAGGGCTGTAACCCAAGCGTGTCAATGAATCGCAGGCAATATGCGTAACCGAAGAGATAAAGACTCAGCTTCGAGGAACAGCCAGCAGGCATGCGTCGGCATGTGCATGCACTGACTGACTCTCAGGTCATTATGCTTTTTCGTGCTTAAGGCCTAAGCTGTACAGGATCAAAAACACGTCATAAATCACCATATTATCTCTCCTGGTTGATGTTGGTGATGAATTTTAGATAGGCGGTGCGCATAATACGTAGCTACAGCAAGTGGAGTCAACCCAACCTAGACAAATCCCAGGACAATGAATAACGGTCCTTAGTAGCGCAATTGCTGCCAGGAACACAGTCTTCCGAGCCTCCGAAATATAGCCTCTCCACTTGTTATATTGCAAGTAGCTACCAAATAACCGCAACCCCCAAAGGATACCATCGAGCTTCCTTGCGAATAAAAGCTCATTATCACTCTATTCCTCGACTGGTTTTCTAAACCAAAGCTAAACCTTCCCCTCAATCCAGCAGTAGGCGTTTTGCGAGGGTGTTGATGCCGCATTTACTGGAAATGTGAAACATGGCATTGGCATCCATCTAAAACGCCCCTTCCTCTCTGCTATGTAGCTGTTGTGTACTCCGCATTTGTGTCTGCATTGTAAATCTATTGTCCTTTGTAGAGCCGGGACGGTCATTCATCCGCCTCCTGGGACGGGTAAGGCTGGGGAGTCCCTGTGCACCCGGGCTAGCCGAAACGTTACTGGACAGGGGATAATGCAGGGCTTGATCTAGTCACGTATACCAGTTGAATGACAAGATGATATAGGTCATTTTTATCAGTGGACGGGCCCGTTGGGCGGTCACATAAACAGTGGCGACGAATAATCTCAGTTATGTTCGAGCATCACGCTGGTAGATCAGGAATCATCTCGAACGTTTATGAACCTGCATGACCCTCGCCTCCACAGTTGAACTGCTACCAGGAGCCACCTCCCGTCGAGTCATGTGAGCGTTACTCGCTCGGTGCGAATTACGGAGTACGGAGCATGTATACCCTGAGTACTAGTATTATGACACACAGTAAGTACGCCTGATTTGGTTAGTACACGTTTGCTTGAAGTGACGAGCAAATGATAAGGCAGCAGCAGCAGCAGCAGCAGAAGAAGTAGGTGGTGGTCCAGAACTTCAGAATCTAGAACTCATCACCTGTTGTCGATCGTCACACCCTGCGTCATTGGAAAAGTTGTTGGATGATGCACAGCCGTACACAGAGTCAGAAGGCACTGTAGTTATACTGAACTTACGAGTAGAGACAATTCAGCGCAAAGGATGACAACGATATTACGAATCCTTCCGATCTTCCTTCGGGTGGTCAACAGACCGACAATTAATGCGTAAGATTCGCTAGGGCTTGAATGTCTCAATTGAAGACGATCGGCGTTTACCCGGTCGGCAGTACCGGCACAGAATGGGTAGTCTACTTCACAGTAGGCAGTCGATCGGCCTAAAGGGAAATGGGGAACTCATTAGAAAGCCCGAGGATGTTCCGTCTTGTATTGCTGCTGCTATTGGAATCCTCGGATAAGCACGGCATCTACGGAGCGAACGAGAGGCGAAGAAAATTCTTGACTCAGGAGGGAGAGATTGATGTTGGGGTAGGTAGTAAAGGTGATTTGTTTGTGTTTTTCCTATGTAACATTACCTAAGAACCATGGGTGCATAAACGATTAAACAACTCAGCAGCCAAGTGTCCTGTGGTTTCTGGGCCGGCGTACCGTGGAACGTTCCTTAAAATAGCACAAGTTTTTCTTGATTGCATTTTAATAAGTTTTCAGGAAGATCATCTCACCCACGATTTTCCATTTATCCTGGATGTACGCTGCTGCGCATGGACGATGTTACCCCATTCGTAGACCAACATTGACAGCTGACGGGCTAAGAAGGAAACGGTCGTATGGACTAATGGCGATAGCGAAGGGTAGCGGAGCCAAACAGAGTTTCTGCCCCGAGAGGTCAGGCACACAGTCCCAGCGATCCAATTTTCTCCTGGCTAGAATGTCTCAGCCCGCACTGACTGACTGGCCAGTGGGGGGGCTTAGTTTTCCAAGTTGACACTAGTGCACGCCCACATCGGGCATCGTTGCTGGTATTGGTGCATTGGTCCGCCTTTTCGGTAAAATCCTAGTTCGATTAGACCTCACTAACCGTGTGTGGTATGGAACAAGGGCAAAAAAAAGAGAAAAAAGAGAAACGAGAGAAAAGAATGAGGACTAGCGTCCCTCGCACCCAAGCCGACACATGAAGAGAGTGATTAGCCGGAGGAACCAGTCAGAGTGGGACTGCGCGCTCTTCCCTTTCTTCAATGAGCCTTCCGTCTCCAATCCTTTTTCATCTCCATCCCGCCTCCTTACACTCTTTTCTCTTCTCGTATCTACATCGTGCCTCTCATACGTATATCTATCTAGTCTCTCGTTAACCCCTCCTGCATCTGCAGTTCACTGAATTTCCCCTCTTGATACGTACGATCGTTTTTTTCTTATCCCTCCCTCCTGCCACCTCCTATACCCTCGTTGGAAGTCTCCGGAGTATCCGTCAGTCATACAGTCACGAGATTGAACCGCCTTATTCTTTCGCTTCATCTCCTCCGGACCTTTGGATCGAGACGACTTTGATTGATTCCATCCCGCATCGCCCGCCCATCATGCGAGTGTCGAGTCTTTCGTTCCTCTTATACTCTTTGTCCCTGTTGGCCGCTGTCTCCGGTCAGAGCGCTGCGGTCACGGGCGGAGATGTCGCTACCTCTAAGGATGCCGCACCTACCCAGACCGAAGCGACCACGACATCCACATCGTCGACATCATCAACTTCTTCATCTTCGTCCGAGTCTACAGAAAGCACTTCGACAACTAGTGACACCAAGCCAACGACCACCAAGGCTGACCCCACAACAACATCAGAATCAGACTCGTCAACTTCCACCACAGACCCCCCTAAAACCACGACCGACCAGCCGACGAGAACTTCGGCATCAGCCACTAGCAACCCTACAACAGATAACAACAACAACAACAACAACAACAACAACAACAACAACGACAACACTACAGCGGACAACAGCTCGAAAACTACCCAAACTCCTGTTGTAAAGACCCTTACTACTATCGAGACGGTCAGTGGAACGCCTGTTCACACCACGCTTACCACCACCTCGTCCGCTGCTGTCGGCGCGACCGACTCTCCTTCGCTGAATGGGGAAGAGAAGGACTCGAAGAGTTCGGGCCTGTCTTCTAACCAGAAGAAGACCATCATTGGTGTCGTTGTTGGTGTAGGTGGTGCAATTCTAATCGGTGCCCTTGGTGTGGTTGCCTGGAGAATTCATGCACGCAAGCGCAATGCCCACGACAACGATGAAGCTACAGACCTCATGAGCGGTACCGCTGTTGGCTCCGGCGTTCGAGAGAAGGCTCCCAGCCCCGGGGTTGGTGGAACACCTTTCAAGAGCACCTTGGACCAATACCATAACCCCGGTCCTGTCAACGCCGCGTCGAATTTCTAAACGAGCCAGGTGCCTGTCACTCCCCGGTGGTTTTTAACGTGACAGCTTTCTTTGGCCGTACCTGGCCCTTTCCATATAGATGTGGGCATGGTACATGATGGCCCAGTGATTTTGACACTGTAAAGTTTGTACGAGTATTACGCAGTTATCATTGGCGCTTGTTGGTGAAGATATATTGGGTCTTTTTCTTCTTTTCTTTGGTATGCAACGTTCAATGTCCTTGTTACTTGCATACTGTTCACATAGAACGCCTGTCATTCCTTCCCCAAGATCACGCTCCTTTCTACGTACAGCGGTTTGTTTTAGCATTCATGGTTGGCTTGTTGTCTTTGATTCCCCTGCTCGAAGCACTGGTTCTGCATAGAGATACTGAGATGTGTGGTATCCTCCGTCTCACTGTCTCTTCTTTCTGTTCGATAGCTTGGTTGGACGATCGTCTGGCGATCCAACTAAACAAAAACACTTTTTTACCCTGATATCTATGTATTTAATTGTCACAGAAACTAGCTCGAATGTGTTTGCTTTAGTACCGCCTCGAAACACTGACTGTACATCGCGTGCGGATATGCATCGGAATGGTGCGACCGATGAAACACCAAACGCCCCTTGTTAATAGAGCACTTTAACCGCCGCCACTCCCATACAGGCAAGGATTGGCCCCGTGTCGAATAGGAAACCTAATCTATGTAAATCCCCAGCCGCTGGACACGGAATATTTATATGCGGAGTAACATTGTCCAATTAATATTATTACACAGTACTACCCACATTCGAGATGCTACTCCTTTTAGTATCTGGGTGATCAAGTCCATGCCATAGGAGTAATAGCCCGAGACATGGCGCCTCCTATGACAAGAATCATCAGCGCTCTTTTTCTGATCCTTGGCGCTCGCGCCCTCATCCTGGATCCAGTCGGGCTGGTATATGCGCCCGCCTCTGTCGGCAAGCGTCAGGTAGTCAGCTATTCCCGTCACCATGATTGAAGTTAGGCTCTCATATCTTGAATCTCTCATTAGACATTTACCGGAACACTAGGGGGTTCCGCACCCGCTGTGAGTTCCATAGTATTCTGACTTGTGAGATGTATCAATGTTGAGTATGTACCTAGGTCACGAACACAGGTGATCCTGAAAGGCCGTATGGCGTGGACGGCGACACGTTTGTAAGTTTCTATCGATCATTTCCCTATCACCGAATGATAACCAAGCTGATATCTCATAGACGGATTATGAATCAGCAGCCTCGAGAAGGTAGCTCACCTTGAGTTCCACGTCCCATGTTTCACCGTCCCATGTAGAATCCTTATCTAACACGAGTCCATCCATCAGCTGCAACAACCAATTTAACTCTTGCCAAAAGGTCAGTATGGCGGCACTGTGCCACTGACAAATGTCGCAGAGGTCTGTTAACTCGTATTTAGATAGCCAACACGGACCAGACATCATCCTTCTCCCTCCAAGATTGTCAGGATCAGTTAAGTACGTTCGGCCTTGGCAGACCATCAACAATTATTCTGACCTACTGCCAAATAGATAGTTGCATGTCGACAGTATCATCTACGAGCGTAGCGTCACAAGGTGCTACCATAGCCTCTGCGCCGACAGCAAGCAGCTCGACAACAGATGCGACCACTGTAACCGCGCAATTGGCCCAAACCACCATCCCATACGACTCAGAATTCGACCTTGTCTGCGATCTCTAAGGCGGCGATGTGCCAGTATGTTTGGCATGTAGCCAAGCGGCGTGATACAACATTGTTCTGAATCGATGAATTATGTACTGGACATCCACCCATCCAAGCCTTGTAGCCAGGGTTGCAGCCTCAGGAATGCGATATGACCACATCGGGACTAGTGCCCCGTGATGCCGTGTTGGGGACGCGCTCGCGGATCGACGCTAAGAATCCCCCCAGCCCACCTGTCTTACGCGGTGGCTGGAGGTCGAGAACTCATGCACACGAGGACATTAGAAGCAGAGTAGCTCTTAACTCCACATAAATCGTTAATTAGGCTTCCTTACTCCCCCCAAACCCGAAGTCCACCTCCATTGACACGATATCAACCCATCAAAAGCTGCACCTCGAGATTCGAGACGCGTACCGCCACCGTCTATACCCACCATCTCCGAACCGGGGAACCACAACGCAGGACTCCCTATACCTACACTGACTCCATCCTACGCGCAAACCACTGCCCATCATCCTTAACATCATGTTCGCCGCACTTCCCCCCATGCAGCAGTTCAATTTCTCGCAATGCGCTACCGCGCCCGCACGTCCGTCTCTACTCTCACCTCGCAGTTCGCCGGCGCGCCCGATGGCCTCGCTATCCTCCTCACCCTTCCACTTCTCCCCAGCATCAGAAAGTCAACCCAACACACCCGTCACGTCAAGAACAGAGTCCAGGAATATATTCTCCGGGTCTCCGATCTCCCCTTCGCCTTCGAAGGGTGCAGACACGTCCTCCCGCTCCAAGACTTCGCCTACATATGCTCAGCGCTATGCGAGTACGATATCTAACCCGTTGAATAACGCGTCCAAGAATGGCACCGCTTCCTCTTCGCCGTCGGCGCGCGAAGCGAGACGCAATGTTTTCTTGAATCGGATCAGGCAAGGGCGTGACGATGCACGTTTTGCTAATAGGGGCGAGCAGCTGGTGTTGATGGAGCATGTGGCGGAGCAGAAGAAGTGGGGCGAGTCGATGCGTAGGAGGACGGATGGGATTCTGCAGGGATACTTGAGGGATTTAGAAGAGGGCGTTGATGATATGCTTGGTACGCTTTCTTCTGTGCTTGCCCCCTCCAACAAACTTGTTGGCGGGACCAATGACTAACCTGATCGTTTTCTTAGACGAGGCGGATATCCAGGCTCTGGATGAGTATCTGTCGCAGGAGCAGGCAATGGAGATGGAGTTGCTTGAGAATGTGGATGTGCAGACGCCCTCTGGACAAGATAATGACAGGGCATGGAAAGATCCTGGCTCATCGTTTAGTGATGACGAGTACGAGGACATATTCATGGATTTAGCCGATCAGACAGTACCGAGTCAAGATATGGATATGTCGGGGTGAGAATACTGAGGATTACGATCCTTTGACACGACTTGGGAGGATATACAGGGAACAGGGTAATACACATGAGCTAGATAGGGTTACGGCGTCGGTTGGGTTGGTCGCTGGCGGTCCACATTTGATTTGTTTCGGGCCAACAGCCTTTGTATTTGTCTGTGATGTACATGTCAAGATAGATAGCCTTGTGACATTTGGGCTAGTAAATAGGGTATCGAAATGATATATGTACAGAAGATGCCAACACCAGATGCATTTGAAGTGCCATAAGAGATGGAGTCTGCAATCACCACTTTGCAGCGAAACTGGGTAAATGTCACCGAAAGTTCGGAGATTTGAGACCAGATCTTTATTGCTGGGTGCAGTCCGGCATCGGCATACCCCCGGGACCTTTAAGGTCTTTCCCAAACGGATTCGCGACGAGTTCTTCCGGCGGACTTCCGGCAGCTTGCATCTGCAGCAGATCAGTAAGGATAACCCAACAGACCCAGTACGAAAAGGATCACATACCTCCTGCATCTTCCCCCACACATACTCGCGACACTTAGCATCTTCATCCGTGTAACCTGGCTCTTCAAACTTGGCCACAATTTGCGACGCAAGAGTCGCCTGCTTCTCAAACCGCTCCATTTCCTCATCGGAAAACCTCCCCTTGCCCTTGTTCTCCACCAACCAGGGTCCGAACTTCCCATCAAGCTCCTTCATCGGGTCATAGAGCATTTCTTTGTTCGAGAGCTGCTCCATCATCGCTGCAACTACGTTCATTATACCGCCGTCGTCCGCATCAGCATCTAAGCCGGTTGTCTCAAGAGCCTTTAGCAGATGTGCCAACATATCGTCCGCATCATCTTCTGACGCTGCCGCCGTAGCCTTATCTCCGGACTCCTGCATCCGATTAATAGTCTGCTGAATAGCGTCATTAAATGACTCAGGCGGCGCTCCAGCTCCAGCCCCACCAGACGAAGACCCAGAACTACCGGTCGATGGCGCAGCAGCAGCTCCAGCGCTAGCATCCCCACCATCTTCTTCAGCCATCACATCCGCCAAAAGTTGCTTGAGGAAGTCACCGGGCGGAATCCCGCTCTCCTCCAGTTGCTTCGTGAAGGCGTCGGCGCCCTGGTTGATGGTGTCTTCGAAACCCTTGTCGTCAGGTGCCCCGGATTCCTTAGCAGCGTGGCCCATCATGCTCGCCATGTCTTTTTCAAGCTGTTTCATGAACGCTTCTTCATCGAAGTCGTTGGCTTCTGGTGCGGTCGCAGGCTGAGATGGAGCGATGGGGGCGGGGGCGGGGGCGGGTTTGGGCTTGTTGAAGTCGTCGAGGACATCTTTTGATAACAATTGTTGAGATTTGGTTCTATTTTGTTTGAAATCTGATCCTCAGAGCTTACCGTCCAATTCATCCAGGTCCGATTCATCGTCGTCGTCGTCATCATCATCAATTGCTTCTTTCGGTTGCTGAGGTTGCGCTTGTGGCTTGTCTGCAGGTTGTGCCGAGGTCTCTGGGACAGCCGTTGCGGTCGTCGTCGCCATCTTTACATTTTCTGCTGAAGTGGAAACGGGCGCAGACTCGTTCTGTTGGGGATCACCCCCATTGACAGGCGATGCCGATGGGGTGGACATGATTCCGAAAGGCGGGGGAGGGGAAGAACAGCAATGATCACTGGGAGGGAAATGCGTAGGCGATTGTAGTCGAGCTGTACTCGTTTCCGACGAGAGGCCTGGGGTTTGAAGGAACCGAGTAAAGGGGTTGTATCGAGAAGACAAAGAAAAAGAGCCGAAGGATGTTTTGTGACGGTGGAACAAATAGTTAGTTAATTGTCATGTGAATGAATAATCAGTTGATGGCGAGACCCTTTTTTGTGACTGGGCGGAGATGCCGAGCCAATGCCGATCGCCGCGGCTTTTCTGACAGTATACTACTACTATACTAGTACTAGTAGTAAATGCATCCTTATGCCGGACGACCGCTTGTACATACATACCAGTACATACTACTTACTTACTACTCCATAACTATGACATTCTTCCCACTCGATGCCCCCGAGCAATACCACTGCCTCATCTGCTCAGCTTCCTCCATCTTCCACTCCGTGATCTCAACATGAAGCCTATTCCGATGGAACAACTCGACCAGCTCCTGCGCTTGCGCAGTATCAGCCACTAAAGAACCGACCAGCTTAATATCCTTATAGATGACCGTCTGATAAGACATGGTGATCCCCTTCTCGGGCTGACCCAAAAGCACCATAGTTCCATGTTTCCTGGTCAGAGCCGCCGCCAGCTCAAACGCAGCTGGATGATCCGTCGCAAGCACGGTGGCATCCAGCCCGGGGTAATCCGAGGAAATCATCCCGTTGATCTTATCCAGGGACTTCTCCACTGGATCCATAGCCAGGATCAAAGTGTCGGGGCTATGCTCATAAGATGCCACTGCATCTAGAGCGGACTGCTTCACGTCGATTGCCGCCACCTTGTAGCCCTGTATCCTCCGTAACTGCTTAGCGAACTGGTCTGGAATACTAGCAGCAATGACGTCGAAAATAACCTTACCATGCAATTCGCAATCTGTGTCCCAAGATGGCCCAATCCACCGATCCCAACAATCCCTATCGACCCGCCCTTGGGGACGTCCGCTCGAACAATCCCTCCATAGATACTAATACCCGCACACATCAACGGCGCAGCACCTTGAACTCCATGTCACCTGGGAGTTTGACCAAAAAGCGAGCGTCACTAGGGTATCGCCATAGCCTTATTAGCAAAATCGGCTCGTTTAAGGGTATCTTGAAATCTCACCACATACGCAACCATGTACTCAGCCCAGCCTCCATCCGTCGTAATACCCTTCATTAGAGGCGCATCGCAGTAGATTGGGAGACCCGCTTTACAATCCGCGCATTTACCTACACAAGTTTATACCAATTAGAGATAACCTGGAAGTCAACTATACAGTTATCCTTGCAACTTACCACAGACGCTATCGAAATTGATACAACCCACCCTATCACCTCGCTGGAAACCCGTAACCTCCGAGCCTACCTCTTCGATGATCCCGGCGGCTCGTGGGACCCGATGAAAGGTAGCATTGTGTTGAATTCATTCTTCAATGCCATGAGGTCTGTATGACAGAACCCCGCGGCTTGGATGCGGACTAGAACCTGGTGTGGCTTTGCTTTGGGAATGGACACTTCGGAGATATGGTAGGGCTCATTGTATTGTTGAATTTGGATGGCTTTCATTGTTGTGGGTGCCATGATGGGAACAAGTGATGCTTGGAGGTTGTGGTTTAGAATAGATAAGTATTGACATTCACAGGTTATACAAATAAGGAAAGAAATCATGATCGAAAGCTGGGGAATCTATGAGTTCTTAGATGGTTTACCCCAAGAGGTGTTCCCCAAAGTGGGGAAGCGTCTTCCCCAAGTATCGTGGAGAGTCTATTCTTATCTGCAGTTTGGGGAGACTTTTTGGAGCGCAGTTGGATGTTGGCGTACTTTGATGTACATCTAGCTTGTTAAAACTTAAAACACATGGGAGTATGAATCCAATCCAATCTACACACACTGGCAATGTCTTGATCCGTGTCGACCTTTTAACACACAAGAAACAAGGAATACGAATCGTGATACTCTAATGATCGAAGCCAGGAATGTCGTGTTGGTGCTCTGAATTTGATATATTGAGCTCTGTGCTATGGAGGCTTTAATACATGCGAGCGTGACATCAATAAACCCGTCAAATAGTATGTGGTATCATTGACTAATTCCCATTGCTTAAAGGCAATGAAGTGGGGCATCAAGAAACTCGCCATACGATGGTTTGGAGTTCCGATACTGCTTCCTCACTCTTGTCTATGGAGACAGCGGATGAAGCGAACGCATCTTTGTCAGTAGACGCGTCGGGATATCCTCGGTATCCTAGATGGCTAGCGCATCTAGTCCTGTGTACAGGATTATGTAAATATAGTATACAATCTGAGCAGACAGAACGGTCATTTCATCGTCAGAAGGCAAATCAGCCAGTCCAGGTGTTCGCAGCTTCACGTTTATCTGCCGTGTTCATGAGCTTCAGGAGCCCATCAACAGCATCTCCTCTTTGAGATGGTGTAACAGCCTGTTTCTCGGGTTGGCTTTCTTCGATGTCATCTTCTTGCTCGTCGACTTCCCCCATCATTCTGCCGCGGCCGGTTCGCGACACGGTAGCTGGAGGACTGCTGAGCTGCATCAGAGACCCTGCTGTGTCTGTCCTGCGATGAGTTTGTGTAGGCGTTTTCATAGGATCTTGGGAACTGTCATTCTCTGTCGATAGGGGAGGCGATGATAATCCGAGAGGAATTAATGATGGTTCGGTTCTCAGCTTGAACTCGACGGCGGGTTGAAGAGCACGTGGTGTGATAGAGGAGGGCATGATGTCTTCGTCTTGTCGGCGCGGTGTCACCGCCTCCCTCTGATGGCCGGGCGTGAGCGTTTCGAGGAGTGATAAACGCGGGAATTTGCGACTGTGGGCCTCTAGTTCTGACAGACGGCGATCAAATTGAGGATCTTTAACGTGACGCATGGCATTCTGGATTCGGTTCCGAAGAAGGCTTGCTTTCTGCTCCGTGGGTTAGACTGGCATAGGAATATGGCAGATCAATCACACTGACTTGTTGGATAAATAACTTCCGTGTTTCAGGGTCTTCAGGGACGGCTCGTGTTGAACCTGCTTCTCTTTCTTGTCTAGAGCTTTGGGCAAGCGGCGTGGCGTGTGTTGGTGACTGTTGTTTATCTGATTCCCGTGATGGAGCTCCATCCAGCTCCGTCGCGTCTGTTTGTTGTTGGTCCGGCTACCCCTGATAATCAGTCCCGATTCAAATTTGAAACTCTTCAAGTGCCACTCAAAGTTTTTGCTCAACGTACCCGATCATCCTTGTGAGCTGTAGAGTGTGTGAGAGCTTCATTATGCACGCCGTGTACCGTCTGTGTTTCCGCCCGAGACTCGCCATATTGAGCCTGCACGTTGACATTGTTCGCTTGGTCGTCTACTTGATCAATTGTGCGTTTCTGGCCAGCGAATAAAGGAGAGGGAAGGAGCTTTTTGGGAGAAGGTGGTTCGAGGAGTGGGCGTTTGCTGGGCGAAGCATCGGGCCGATGGTGAGCGGGTGACAGACACGCGTTGGCGGTCTTTTCACCGAGAACGCGCCTCCCATCTTTGACGGGGCTGGGGTGCAGTGTAGTTGGGTACATTCCGGTGTATTGGGAGCGTTTAGAGGAAGAGAGTAGAAGCGGGAGGGCAGGTGGGAGGAATTTGGGGTTCAAGTAGGAACCCGTACGGAGAGCGGAAGAGAGGTTAGGGCTCCAGAAGCAATTGTGGGAAGAGAAAGGTGTATTTTTGTGGTGTTGAGGGGGATGGAAGGAAGAGAGTAAGAACGAGAGAAGCAAGATGATATGAACAAGAAGGTTAACACGACTTGTTCTCTCGGTCTTGCGAGGTAAGGTGGTAGTCAAGTTGTCGCGTGGGAGGTAAATCGCGTTGTAGTTTGGTGTATCTCGCGCTATTCCCAAGCCGTTTCGGAGGGAGACGTGACTTAGTTCCATTTTCCACCTCCCCGCGACGTGTGATATCCACTTCTCCCATATCCCCATGCAACTCCCTAACTTCTCTTCTTTGTCGAATTGTTATACATTACGGAGGATAGGAGGGCAACTCTTTACGTTTGCCCTCTTCTAGTAACCTACTAAGGAACCTGGAACCATGACCACACGCAAACGCAGCGCCATGCCGCAACAACCACTGCATATTTCCGCGTAGTGAAACTTCATCAACCCCTCTCGATTCAAACCATACAAGGATCTGAGTAGGTCAGCATGTGATACTTCGACGTGGAATGCGCAACATGTGGCCCTTCTGACTTGAGCATTTCCGAGCAATGATTGGCATCTGACTACTGTGGGGAACCCCAAGATCACAACGTGAGACTTGTACAAGGTCTAGCGTAGAGAAAGGGGCATGGATATGGACAGTACAAGCATATACCAACTGTGGATATAACAAAGCTCTCACGCGCGACTCTTCCCAGCCATCGAGTGGTCAACAAACATAAGTCATGCTGTTTGTGGCCCCGATCTCAGCCACTGCCCGCTTGGGTCTAGATCCGTCCTGCACGTGCCACTCAGCCCCACCGCCTGCAAGAGATCGATAGTCAGGTTGTTAAAAAGTAGGCACTTGTACTAGATACAACTTGAAGTGTCCAATAAAGCTCCTATTGGCATACCTTTTGAAAATATATATATATATATACGGAGAAGGAAGGTTGGGGTCTGATAAGCAGAAGAGGGGGGAGAGGATCTTATACGAGACTGACTCTATAGTAGAAGATTACACGAAAATGTTACTACTCCATCTCACATATGGATGTACTCTCTTCTGCAATGACAAACAGTAGTCCTTTGATTAATTAGTATATTATCATAATACCCTTTCGGGTGAGTGGCTAGTAGTATATAGAACATATCAACTAATCATTTCCAATTAGTAGACCAGTCTCCAACAGCAAGCCAAGGCCGTTGGCTATATATGTAAAGCAACGATTCGATGAGTACAGGTGCATTGGAGGGCACAGATTAAAGAATCCCAAAAGACGAGAGATAAGGAAGTCCGAAAGGTTAATGATATAGATACACTTGACAATGTATTGATTGCTTTCCTTTACCAAGAGGGATATACTGATTCTATATTGATCAATCTGGAGTAATGACATCATCACCTTTTACTGATCTACTCTGGAGTAGACGAAGGTCTACATAGGAAGCGGACTCCATCAATTATCTATCCAATCTGTTTACATTCCTGGATCGAATTCATCCTAAAACCGCCTTCCCCTTATTGGCCTTCCAAGGGCTTCCTCTTACCCCGTGACAGCCCGAGTGCGAAAGCTTTCCCCGCATTGGGGTTCCAAAGAAACGCCAACTCAATGCACTATTAAATCCAACACTGCTCCGTCTGACCATTGCGCCTATAGATCACCACCTCTATCCAATCCTTTTCTCTCGACCTTTTACTACTTTGCATATTGTCATATAACCTTAGGATATCTAAGGCAGAGAATCGCCTACCCAGGGTAAATACTACTTGGATTGGGGTAGATCATTACTGTATGGGATCTTCTCCGACACCATTGCATCAGAGGGTCTGCACGTGGTCGGTGCCTGCATACCTCTCACATCCCCTCTCTTGCCTCTGTGTTGCACTCCTTCTTTCGCTCACCCATCACTCGTGATCAACCCAACACCATCGAGATGCGTTTATCCTTTGCAGTACTGACAGCTGCCCTTCAGGCGGTAGTCAGTACGGCATCTACACTGACTCCGCCTGTCCTACCGCTGATTGTACGAAACCCTTACCTCAGCACTTGGTTCGGTAATGCTCGTGAGGCGCCGTGGTCAAAATGGCCCATGTTTTATACTGGAGAGGAGGTTGGCCTCTCCTTGATGGCACACGTTCCTAGTACGGGGACCGTGTATCCGTTGTTGGGCAAGCCCCATGAATCCCTGGCTTCTGATTCCAAGTAAGCATACTCAGAGCAACCAAGGCATTTTGACAATGTTCTCTAACAAAGACATAGCTCACCAGAGGTAGCGTTTCCGGTTTACTTGGGAGCTAACTACGATGCGTCTACCACTAACCTGACTTACCGCATCGACTTGGATACATCGGCTTCTACTCCCCTTGAGATCACCGTTTCTTTCCTGTCTCCCATTACGCCTACATCGACTCTGCGGCAGTCGATTCCGGCTTCGTATGTGACGATTCACGTCCATGGCGATGTGGGTGTCAACGTTTATATGGATGTCAATGGCCGCTGGGTAAGCGGAGATGCGGGTAGCAAAATCACATGGCAATATGATGGTTTCGACACCAAAGGCAGCAAGCCTACTCTCCAGAGATGGCGGTTTAAGAGAGAAACAGAACTGCTGCTATCAGAGATCCGCGACCGGGCAGAATGGGGTACCCTCCACTTTACTGGTCCTGCTGTTCGTGTCCCTTGGATGAGCGTCACCGCGAATCCTAAATGTCACCGCTAACACTGAGGGTAGGACGCTCGGTTTCAATCTGGAGAAGCCTTGGCTGTGCGGCGAGGATTCGTCGCCGAGGGAGCCTTGCGCAACGAGAATGATGGCGCTTTCCGTGCCGTTGGTGACCGAGAACCGGTCTTTGCGTTCTCCAAGTCTTTCGTCCCCTCAAAGAAATCAGGGCCTGCTAGCGATAGCGTTACTTTCACCCTTGCCCTGATCCAAGATCCGGTCGTTCAATATGCCTCCTCACGCGGGCTCACCTTGATGCGGCCTCTCTGGAGATCTTGGTTCTCCAATGAAGAGGCCCTGCTCAGCTTCCATTATCATGATTTGGCCAATGCAGGCACGTTGGCCTCCGATTACTCGGAACAACTGGCCCAGGATGCCTATCAGTCGGGGGCTTACGACTATGTGGATATTGTAGCGCTCTCCGCCCGACAGGTCATGGGAGCAACCACCTTTGCTGGGACACCCGAGAACCCGATTCTGTTCCTGAAGGAGATTTCTTCTAACGGTAATTTCCAGACTATCGACGTTATTTTCCCTTCATTCCCATTCTTCCTTTACACGAACCCACGATGGTTGGCCTATCTCCTCGAGCCCCTGATTGAACATATGTTGAGCGGACAATACCCGAACAAGTATGCTATGCATGACCTGGGAACACATTTCCCCAATGCCACCGGTCACCCAGACGGCAACGACGAGTACATGCCTGTAGAGGAGTGTGGCAACATTATCATCATGGGTTTGGCTGTTGTGAATTCCTTACGTTATTCTGCGGACTCCGCGGCGGCCTCCGTTTGGTCTACTCGAGGTACAGCCCCTGAAACATCCGACAAGAACTCAGGCTATTTCCCTCTGGATAACCTCCAAGCCCTGGGAGGAATTGATAAGCAAGACGGAAGATGGGGCGGTGGTGCCCAAGGCGAGCACTTGGCAGAAAAATGGGTTCAACGCAGTTACAAAATCTGGACCCAGTGGACCAGTTACCTGGTGGAATTCTCTCTGGAGCCTGCTAACCAACGTGAGGACCCTTCTGTTTTGCGAGAATATGGGGAAAGCTGATGAATGTAGTTTCCACGGACGATTTTGCTGGCTGGCTTGCTCTTCAGACGAACCTTGCCCTTAAGGGCATCATCGGTATTAATGCCATGAGCAAGCTAGCTGAAGTGGCTGGACACAAGGCGAACGCATCATATTATAAGGTTGGTATATTCAATATGACTTAGGAGGGTGAATCCTCTGACTCAAATACAGAATATCGCCGATACCTACATCGCAAAGTGGGAAGAATTCGGCATGTCTCGAGACGGCACGCATGCTAAACTTGCCTATGACTGGTATGGATCTTGGACTACGATCTATAACCTGTATGCAGATGCCCAGCTTTGCTTCCACCTGGAGGGCACCGATGTTTCCCCTGCACGTGGCAGTCAAAAGTCACTCCACCCGCACTCCGGGAAGAGCGGATTCGTTCCACATCATATCTACCAGAAGCAGTCTATATGGTACCACTACGTAAGGCAAAAGTACGGTCTCCCCTTGGACAGCCGCCATCTGTACACCAAGACGGACTGGGAGTTTTTCTCTATGCTGTCGCCAGCGAGGACGTACGGAGTGAGATCCTCGAGTCCGTCGCTAGATGGGTGAACGAAACGGTGACCGACTTGCCCTTCACCGATCTGCATAATACTGAAGGCAAGGGTGAGTTCCCAGGGCCGAACTTCTTTGCTCGGCCGGTGATCGGGGGTCATTTCGCGTTTTTAGCTCTTCAGCGTGCCTGCGAGGGTCGGGCAATGGAGGGCTTGGCTTTCCTTGACGGAAAGCCAGGCTTTGGAGGTGACTCGGTAGCGTCAGCTGAGACGCTCAGCCAGTGGGAGGCCATGGCCGCTAAAGCAGCGGAGAAGTTCAAATTTGGCGGGTATGAATCCGAGAGAGTAGAGCTGTAAGCTTTGGATTCGTGTATATACCATATTTAGGTGGCGTATCCGAAGTTGGTAGGAGCTGGCTGGGTTTGAAGATATTAAGCGTAGCACCTTTGATCATGATGTTCTCGGCTAAAGCTATATTACGAGGCGACAAGACATATAAATTTCAAGGGGCTACCGTAACTGCTCGCATGTTGATTGATCTCTCATCAGCCTTGCTCACTGTTCGTTGATCATTATCGTTCGTATACTTACCAAGAACAATGCATTATAGATATTCTATGCTTCAAAAGATGAACATCGAAAATGTATGGTGTTATACCCAATGCTAAAGAGCCACTTTAGCCTGCCTCAACGTGGCCTAAAAGAGCCCCATGGCAGACCTGGAGCGACGTAGATATATTTTGGTTGGATATCTCTGGCGCCGCCATGGCGTCGAACTAGAGTCTGGACTTTTGACGAGACTTCAACTACACAGGCCACTAGGAGATTGTTTGAGGCTAGTCAAGTATAATCGGAAAGCTGTAGGAACTTAGGTTCTATGCCTGTTGGCTCCTGCTTCGCTTGTTTCAGGTCTTCGAGACCCCTGATAATCCTTTGTCGTTCATGGCTCTGGATATAGATGCTTTTTCTATTAATAGTTTATGGTGGTGGAGTATATGCTGAATTTCCGACAGGTTGGATATTAACTTGGCGTATTTCTGATGAGGCAAGGACGAAAAGACACATTAATCAAGTGATGGCAGTTAACACTATGGGGATGAGGAAAAATCGAAGGCAGTAATGAATGCCACCTTCCATTTCGGGAAGTCACCTGCACAGACATATAAAACACGAGCAGCCTCAAGTTTCATAGCATATGATCCACCAAATCCTCAACCACTGACAATCGGTAACCAGTTAAACACCGTACTACATCTTTGCCAATTATGAACACTCAACAAGAACCACCACAACACCCACCCTGAGAGGACACCCATCTACATGCACCCCTACCAGCCCCAGCAATAAGACAACCCAAAATCAGTCCCAGAAGACGACCGACAGCTGAGACACCGCTTGATTTGCTAATCCAGGAGCAACTCCCGTACTGTCCGTGTCTGTGCACATCAAGTGCACGCAGACAAACAAAGAAACCCACCCGGGGCTGGATTGGCTGCCTCGGTGGAAGCTTTGTGCTCCAGTGGCCACCCCTGCACGCAATGGCAAATATGACATGGTCAAATGCTTCCAACACTGCATACTCATCCCCCTGATTCGCCTCTGATGAATCTGGACCCGCTCCATACCTGCGCAGCGTGGGTATGGGCCACATATCCAACTGTCGAGGCGGCTCGGCTCATCACTAACCTTGTAGATGTTCTGCCTCGCTAGACTTTTCGCAGAAAGGGTTGGCCTTTCGTTCGCTAATATTTGCATTTCGCTAGCGCTGGAATTGTACGATGACACGCGACAATGATAACGGCAGCCGACCAATTTAAGCTTCAAATTCGAGCCGTCTAGACACGTTCTGATTCTACTGGAGTCTCTATCTCCATAGCCCCCCACGTCAAGTGTCAAGTACTACCTCACGAATGGAGGGCAGGCGAGTCAAGTATTCCGGATGGCAGTGGACCGAAGCATAGATGCCGATGTGCATGGCTAAGGTAGATGGATTAGTTGCGTTGTCGATTGTTATGTTGGCTCGGCCCGTCTTGAGCTTTGGGGGCTGATAACCCTAATAGGATGTGTGGAGTCCTTCACCTGATTCCCTTCGGGCAAGAGGACTTATAGTCCCTTTAACAGGCATGAACGGAAGTAAGTAGTATGCATGCTCTGTCCGAACCCATGCAAGCCATGAAGACCCTTTCCAACCATTGTGTAGCCAAACAAAGAAGAGAATAAAACGATAATTACAATACGTTCAGCTCCTCTCCTGCTCACCTTCCACAAAGAAGACAATCACAAGCAAATCACCCGAAAAGAATCCCAGACGACCAATAACCAGGTCACGATATACAGCGAACGCACATAAGCGCCTTTTGCTAGGCCCGTATAAAACGCAATCTCGAATCTCAGTTCGCATCTCTCTCTCTCTCTCTCTCTCTCTCTCTCTCTC